GGAAGGGAAGGGAAGGGAAGGGAAGGGAAGGGAAGGGAAGGGAAGGGTCCCATCATTTCTTTCTCCAAGGAATTCAGAGACGTTTCTTGTGATGCTCCATCCAGACCTCATCTATACTTAGATCTCTTGAGCTTCAAAGGAATTGAACAGTATCTGGAATGCCCTTTCTCCTTACTCTGTTGAATAATAGCCAAGGTAACAATTAAGAGGATCTATACTTTCTAACATGGAACATAGCAGAAATTGTGAAAAAGTAGCACAGGAATGGAAAATTCATCCTTGTTCAAACACATTGCTGCCCAACCTTTTTGAGATGGCGGGGGGGGGGGAATTAAAGATTTCCAATATGACCCAAACAACCCATCATCAACAGTTTGGAGAGGGAGGGCTGAACTGATTAAAGAAGGTGAGAGGGTGAGCCAAGAACATTTGCTTTACTTCCTTTCTTTATACCTTATGATAATGCAGCACTGCTCAGTTATCAACAACAATACAAATTGTTGTAGGCCTGCATGCATCTCCCAAAAAGCTGTGGATGTAGCCCCCAACAATCAAATACACACACAATGTACGCACACTCATGCACACACACCCCCTTGGGTATACAATAGCTTTCTAGAAAGCCTCTAAAGATGGGCATTGCCAAAGTTAATTTTTAATGTGCTAGACAGGGAAAACTATTAAATACATAGAGAATCATCATAAGTGTACTTAATTGAATTTTAAGTAAATTTCTGGGGTTCTGGAGAATGAATTAAGCAGGAATCACCTAAGTTGCATAAATGGGAAAACTGCCCTCAATTCTTTTTGGAGGAGGAACAGAGTGTAAGAGGAATTTGCACAAGTCACACGTGGATGGGAGGCTTTCTGACCCAGTACAGAAATTGGCAATTCCAACATACACCCCAATTGTATCCTAAAGATCCTACCATTCAGTCTGGAGTAGTGATTAGTGATTTCTAGCTGAAGCACATGTAATTTAATTAGAGGAACAAACAGGGTGTGTCTGTAAGAACTAATGTTTGTCCTTGCAAAGGCTGGAGATGTGTTTTTAGTTAAATTACTAATGCTTTTTGATAATCTTACCAAGAAAACATTTGTCCTTTTACCTCAGTTCTTTTGATCCTACTGCACAAAATCCACGCCTGTTCCTCCAAGAGAAAACAAGAAGTTTTCTCAGATATTTGCCCTTACTAAATAGGGCAAATACTTTGAAGCACCATTAAAGGACAGAAAGCTGTCAATTATTTAGATTATATTTTTACCACTGGGGGGAGCACCACATGGGGAATTTCTGGGTCAGCTATCAAAAACTTTGTGGATATCTCTTGTCTTCACTTTTTAACTATTGCTACAAACTATCTAATATCAGTTAAAGCTGAACTGACATGCATGACTGAGTTTTCTGAACATTTCATACTTTTGTATCCTTTTAACATAATACTTTTTTCCCCACCAAGAGGGACAAATATTCAAAAAGAACTACTAGTTTTTTTGTTTATTTTTATTACAAAGTTAATTGTATTGGATCATGACATGCACAGTTTTACTTTTTTCATCCAGTTTTTGATTGACATTCTGGTAACGGTGATGAAAATGTTAATTTTTCTGTCTTGAGCATCAGTTATTGTGTGTTGTTGGTTTAGTATTGGATAATGTAATCCCAAATTGTATTGGGCTTTCTATAGATAAAGCAGAAAATAAAATAAACTAGATCGAACTTTTAAAAATGAAAAAAGGGGGAAAGAAAGTTATTGCCTGTGCAAAGCCCCAAGGAAAGGGCACGTCAGCTTAGTTGCCTTGGCAATAAAAAAATGCATTTACTTTCCCCCCATCCCCAGTGAGGGAAGTCTAAGGAATGGTTTTGCCTTTGGTGATGTCACCATACAAATTTGGCTGGCTATCTGGTGCTATGACATCATCATGACAGTTGTGTGATTCCTCATGCACTGGGATGAACAGTCAGAAGGGGAAGCATTTTTTTTTATCAACATCTGTAAGCACCACAAAGAACGATGACAAACTCACACCTAAAAAATATCCTCACTCTTTCTCTATGATATTTTAGATCCAATTTCAGTACAACACTAACTCTGCTATTGGAAAGCACAACGTATTGGAAATATAACTTGAATGCATTTCTAAATCTATCTCATACCGAGCCCACAGAGCTACAAAAATGGGTTACACCTTTTATGTTTCTCCACTTACCCCATGTAATGCATTGTACATTACATTGTAATGTAATTAATGCAGTGTTTCTCAACCTCGGCAACTTTAAGCCAGTTGGGGAATTCTGGGAGTTGAAGTCCACACATCTTAAAGTTGCTGAAGTTGAGAAACACTGCATGAATGGGATAGTCTTCTACTGTGCTTTGGTCTGCTCCTGAGGTGGTGATGTATGTTGCAATGAATAATTGCCATTTTTGCAAGCAGCCCCAGGCTCCTTCATGCTTAGCTCTGAAAAGAGCAGATATTCTTTCCCAGTAGTTGCTGATTGAATAGGACACATTGGCCTCACACTTTTCCCCCCATTGTTCGCTTTTTGAGTTAGCTAACATATAAAATAAATTGTTGTTTTGTGAGCTCCTTAGCCAAAAGATGGCTCACAAATATATTAGCAAATGCATAAATAAATGCATTTATTTATGCACCCTGAAGCAATGGAAGTGAAGAGAAAGTGAGCTGCAGTGCCTTGGAACAATGCTACGTATTGGAGAAATTATAGGAGCAAGCCCTTAAGCCAAATAATGGTGCTGTCCTAGGTGCTGAATTAAAGCATTGCTGTGTTGTCTTTGGAAAGATCCTGCAGCCCATGCTATTCAAACAAAGTGTGTTTGCTAAGCCAAAGTCACACTACCTTATAGAGTCCATGGCTACATCCAGAATAGGTGCTCTCCATGGTATAACTCCGCAGCACTCCTATTTCCCGCCAGACCACCACTCGGGCTGTGGAATCACGTGACTTCTCCACCAAGAAGCTGCAGCTACTCATGAGAAATGCAGGAGCCAGTTTATCCAAGATCTTTGGCAGAGTCTGTAACATATCAAACAATGGCACTGTTGGATCAATTCTTCTTTATTTTGGCACTTGCTTCTTAATGCTGTCCTTAAAAAAAATCTTGGGTTGATTTTCAATGGAACAAGCTACCCAGGAACAACTAGCCAATTTTGCTGGACTTGGATTGGACTTGCTTAGTACTTGAATGAGAAACCACAAGGAGATCCCAGAATTCTAGGCTAGGCTGAGAATTTGGGGCGGGGGGATTAGAGTTAAACTCAGATCTAGGAGGATGTGGTTATTTTTAAGCCATCCTGACTGACTGTTGATGAAACTAAGAAGTGAATTGGGATAGTACAGATTCACCTCTCTTTTCAAGATGGAGCCACCAGAGCAGCCCTGGGTGAACCTTTGTCCCTTAACCTTATGCCTTGCTTGACTAATAAGAATTTATTTATTTGGTTTATTTATATTCTACCTTTCTATTTAACTGAATATTGAATACCTGAGGTTACAGGATTAGAGAGAGAGATAATACATTTTATATCTATAGACACTTAAAATGTGCTGTTAATAATATAGCAATTCAGGTAATTATAAGAATTCAGCCTTGTACATTGAATGGAAATAACACATAAAAGAAGAAAATGGAAGTGAAAGGTAGCAAAGATCTGTCAAATGTCAGAATGACGATTTTTTTTTTTTGTCTTTAATTAGAAAGATGTCAGGCAGATACCAGCATTTTTTTTAACAATACAAACAATATGAACTAACAGTCATCAATACCCACAAAATCTGGATGGGCAGCAAATTAAAAACAAATAGAAGAAAATACATTATGCATAATAGATAGATGGAATTTCTTGCCACATTTGGATGTTATTATATAATTATATTACTCAGGCTGCAGAGTGAAAACTTTTCATCCATCGTATGAAGAGCTCAGAACTGATAGAAAAAACTGAAAAGAAGAAAAGAAGGAAGGGGAAAAAAATACTCTGCAATGCAAGCCATAGTGAGAAGCCAAAGGGCAGTCTATTATACGAGACATAACCTAGAGCTTGGAGGACATGAAATATGAAAGCTGTGCAACAATGTTGCTTCTGCACTGGTTCACAATCAACAAAATTCTTAGAGCAGCTGGACGCGTAGACACATTCGGACAACCTGGACACTCTTGGACCGTTCAGATACAATGCATTTTTCTTCAAGCTCTGATTAATCTGGCTGTTGATGATGATTTTAGCATGAGAGAGATGGGAGATGCCCACAAGCTAGAAACTGATTTGATAAATCCATTGGGAGGGTACTGTATATATCTTTCACTTTACCTAAGCAAATAATACTACATCTGAGTCCCATAAATGAAGGTAATTCTTTTCACTGATAAACTCTGTTTCTGGTCATCCTTCTGATGGTCCAGGAAGTTTCATGGAATTTTCTGCCAACATTATTAACCAACATGAAAAAAATGGGAGCTTTCTGCTTTGGAAAATTAGGGATAGATTCAGGAGCAATTCTGACAGTTTTAAAATGGCAGCAGCAAACACATGTTTTTATCAAAGGATGCTTGACATCCACCTTCTCTATGTTGCCTCACACTCACATCTGTTTGTTTTTTACTGGCAAACATTCTGTATTATATTATGGAAATCAGTCTCCTCATCACACACAGATAGAAAATTGCCACACAGCTAGACAAATTTAATAAATCTTTGGGAGGGAATTCCTTCAAGGCAAGTCAATGTTGCATAAACTGGCTTCTCCATGTGTTGGACTGCCCTCTAAGACATGTTTATTGGGAAAGCATCAAGAACTGAAATACATCATCCAACTAGCCTGCAATGCTATCTTCAGCTTCATGCCAGCTATTTTACTTGCATTTTTCCCTATCAGTTTCCATTCAGTGTTATTTGCTTTTGAAAACAAAGGGGAAGTTCTCTGAGCAGAGCATGATGTCTTTGTACTTACTGAGAAATAAGGTGGGTAAAAAGCTGCATTTCCAATTTTTCATTGTACAATTCTTTCTTTGGCAGTCTTAATTTTTGCAGGCTTTCATTCAAGGAAGGATATCAGGGGAGAATGTTTACCATGGACCTTTTCAGATTAAAAAGGATGAGCAGCCAGGATATTTTCAGTTGTAGCATTATCTACCACTTCCAGCAGGAAAGCAAGCTCAAAATCATTGCCCAAAGAAATCAGAAAGAAACCTCTTCAGCATGGGATAAAAACTGGAAAAACCAAGGAAGACTTTTGGAAAATGCTTCTAGCTTAGTCACAACACAGACATCAAGTCTTGAAAATAAATGGTGGCAACTTTTTTGAGACCCCATGTACCACTGAATGACTTTGCACATAGATCCATCTACACACAGAGCACAAAAATGGCTTCAAATCTCTTGAGATGTTGGTGACTTCATCCAATGTTACTTTGAGAAGATGTAGGAAAGGACAAACAGACTAAAAATGTGACACCTCTCCAGTAATGCTACTGATCTGTTTATGCATTTGGCCACCAATCAGGGGTTATAACCCACTCTTCAGAAATCAAAAGCTGTCCAATGATGAGTGAATTTATTTTTTTCTCTTCTTGATGGTCTTAAATGATCCCCATCACATATTTAATTTTTAAAATTCTGGGTAGGCTCCCAAATGAGTGCAAACAAAGAAAAGTTGACTTGCTTTTGTGCGAGTAGCAGCAACTACATCTCCAGAAATCAGCAAGCAAGCAAGCAAGCAAGCAAGCAAGCAAGCAAGCAATTAATTAATTAATTAATTAATTTCCTCGGCAGGGAGCTGAGCATGGGCACCTGCTGATGTTTGCAGATAACAGAAGACATCGAGAAATAAAATTGGTGGACGGCAAGCTTTGGTTGTAGCTTGACTGCTTTAAATTCTTGGGATATCTCTCTTTAAAGGCTGTTAGATTTACTTGGAAACTCTAGACGATACAGAATGTTCTGATACATGATGCTGGATCTTAGCATTGGCTCAGTAATTTACTACTCAGTTACAGTGGGGTATCTTAGGACGTTCCATATGCTTGTATCATTATAAATTCACACATTGAGCTAAGCTATGGATTGTTTTTATTGGCAGCATTTAGTTATAAACTCAAGGATAATTCAAACATGTAGCAGAAGGATACAGAAAAGAATAGCAGAAGAAGAATAAGCACATTAGCACAACCTAGTTGCATAAGCTTAAACCAACTGAGAGCAGCTGATCTACCATTTATATTCTGGTTGCCACTTAGCTTCCACTTACACTATAGGTTATGTTTTCACAATGTGTTAAACCATGCACTATGGTTTATACAATAGCCATGCCAAAAACTCAAACAAAGCCAGCATATGATCCCTTAGTAAAATGCTGTGCATCCTGTTTCAGTCTTGCCAATCCAACTTAAACAATGAAAAACTATATGCAGATTGCGGAGTTCACTTTAGCGCCTAAAAAAAATAGAAATTGTCTTTCTAATCAGCCTTTTATGTTAATTAAAGAACAATGCTGGTAGGTAAATGGAACGTAGGCATGTGTAGCACTCATTTGTAAACATTAGCAAATACGGATTTAATATTCTGTTTGTTCTAACCATGTTTCTTGGGTCTCAAGCTAATGATTCTCTCCCCTCTGTTTATTTCCTCATTAATTGCATTTTAATTGTACATTTTCAAAAAGAAAAAAAAAGTAAAGTAAAAGATCCATTTACAATAATGTGTGAAGTGTTTGGGAAGGAGGGTTTGCCCTCTCTCCTAACATATCCAAGGTCCCTGAAGCCGCAATACTCCTTTTCTGCTCACTCCAGCCAAGCTAGAATTTCTCAGGACTAATCTCCCCCTCTTAGAAAATGTATGAGATTTTTCTTCCTTCTTTTTTTCCCACCATCCTTGAGAAAGAATGTATCTCTGAAGGATTTCCTTCAAATATACTCATCATTATTCTTTTACTTGATTCCTTGGTTAAGCAACTTGTCCTCCAGATGGTTTCAGCAACTTCTACCTGCCCCATTTGAGGAGACTCAAGAATGAAAAGCTGGCAGGGGGAGTAAGCATGTAGAAAAGGGAGGAGCATCATACTGAGGTGCCAAATCTTCTCAGCAGGGTTTAGCACAATGCTTCTCTTATCTAACCAACAGCAGCCTGATGTTGGAGTCCTCCCAAGCCCTATTACCTGAGAACCTTTAATCGAAGATGCTAACAATTGAATCCAAGTTCTTCTGCAGGCGAAGTGCATGTTCAGATCCTGAGTTAAGCTCTCCCATTCTGTAATAAATGCCAGTAGTGTTATCTGATGATGAAGAGGACTTCATCCAAAAGGTTAAAAACTGTTAGCTTTTCAGAAACTGCAATGGTATGTGGGAATGATCTGGGGAGACAGGAGGAAGAGCCACAGACTGGAGAACCATCATGCAAAAGGTATCTCAGTCCACAGAAGCAGAGGGGGTGTGGGAAGCATTTCAGATGGGACTTTTCCTAGTTTTCTGGAGACTAAAAGGAAAGGAAGGGAGAAATACTTTCAGATTTGCAAGATTCTGTTAATGTAACCTTGCAATAAAGATTCATTGTTGTGCTTCTTGTCTGGGCTACCTTGAAGGGCTAACAAAAACCTTGTTCTGCTTTTATGCTATAACAAGGTCAAGATTTGGATCTTCATTTGTTCCTGTCAGTATGACAACTGATCAGGGATAATAACACTTGTAGCAACTTTTGGAGAATCGTACATCGCCCATTATTGTGGACAAAGGGATGTACAGTGTAATTTATATCATAGTGGGGACCACAGTTCAAGGATTCAAGGATAGGGACCTTCTGGATGTTGCTGAATCACAACTCCAGCATCCTTTTTGACGCTGCTTGTAGCTTCAATGTGCATATTTCAACAATATCTGAAGGATCACATCCATGCCCATCCCTGTGTAAGAAAATAGGCTACATAACAAACTACCAGTAAGATCAGTTTGCTTTTGGGCCATTAGCTGTTGATTCATGCCATCCACCTAAATTCCTGGAAGGAAGCATTATGATTCTTTTAATGAACCTGCCAGCATTGTCTGATTCCCCAAAATTCAACTGAAACACAACTCCCAACCTGAACCCAGAACTGATAGAGTCAATTTTGATCTTTCAGGATTCTACCATTGGCTTAGGCCACACTGAGGGATAGGAAAACAGTGAGAAATGGATGACATATCCACTCCTACACATATTACTAGGGTCTGGAGCCATCCAGTGGAAAGAATCGAACAATTCCTTGTGAAAGAGAGTAGACAAAACGTTATACTCTGTGAAAAAAATATGCAGAATTCCTTGCACCCAAATGCACTAAACGGCCACTTTGATAGCTTCTAAAAAAGGTTCCACAAATCTGCAGAAAACTATACTAATAACACTTAAATACTTAATTAAGGTATAGTATATGATATCTCTGGAAAAATTAACACATAAAATAAGATGTATTATGCATATTAAGGGTATGCAGACCAAGAGATTTATCTGATCAATGGCATTATTAGTAACCAAAAAAAAAAAAAAAAGGATAAGATTCCTCAGAACTGTAAAATACTCGGTCAAATATTTAATCTGATAATCTCATGTAATTGCATTATGTGTACTGAATATCATTTTTTATGAGTTGTTTGATTGTTTTTTTTCAATAAATTAATTAAAAAAATGTTTTTTTCCAAACAAATGTTTGAACAGAAAAACAAAACAAGGATATTTGAAACGTTTGTGTCACTCAAGCGCACACATTCCCAATTAGCATTCTCCCTGTTTTTTTTTTTTCTTTTTCTTTTTAATTATTATTATTTGCTGTTGGTTTTGCCTTGAGTTGCTTTTGTTTTCAATTTCACATTATTACTGCCTTTTAGAGGGTTCTTTGTTTATTTGTTTTTTGGTTTAGTTTTGCAAAAACAATAAAATTGGGGGAAAGAGGGGTTTAAAACTTTGCTGAACAGGAATATGACAGCTATCTGCTATAACTTCTAAAAAAATCATGTTTCCCAGTGCTGAACTAGATACATCATCTTAGCCAGTGAGACTCCACTTGTCTTCTTCATCACATCACTTACACAGATGATGTAAATCCATATTTTCCTGGTCCAATTGACAAGGAAATCCCTTGAATTCTAAGAACTGTTACCTGAAAAACTGTATTCATGGATCAATGTATTGACCTATTTATGGATTTGCATTGCCCTTGCCTCTTTTTCTGAGTTGCTTCAAGGGACTGACATGGCAGTCAGTCTCCAGGTTTCCTGACAAACAGGTTGTAAAATAAAACTTTCTACAATCATCCGATGGCTGAGATGCATTTTTCAACTTGGGTCTCCCCAGTTTAACATCTGACCATTTCTGCTTTTCAGGGCATGTGGCTTATCTGACTGAACTGAACAATCTCTATCTGGGAGTTGCAATAAAATGTTGCAGCATATCCTCGGTTCTTAATGGAAATGCATTTGTTCAAGATCCATCGTTCTAGTTCACGATGCCAACCTAAGAGATGCAATAGGGGAATCCAGCTCAAACAATCTTCTATCCAACCCAAATGTGGTTTTTCTTTTTGTCTTTTCCAATCAACACACATTTTCTGGTGACGGAGTTCAATCATTATTATTTGGTTTGTATACACCTGATTTCTCTTTGTTTGCCTTCTTAGGTTAAAATATTTCTTTAACGTCTTTAAAAGGTCATCAGCCCTGAAAGAATTGGGTGTATTCTCCAAAGAATCCTCCAAAGTAGTACTTGCTTGGGTTTTAATGTAAGAAAGGATTTTAGTACAGAGGAATTAATTTAACTATGCTTTATTTGGAGTGGGGGTGGGGGGGGAGGAGAACAAGACAACAGATGCAAAGAATAAGAAAAGCACAAGACTAAATATCTGATGGATAAATAGGTAATCTTATCTGACTACATTTCTACATTTTTTGTTTAAAATAGAACAAATATGAGTTTTTGCCTCTACCCATTTCCTCAACTTGGCTCCATCCATTTTGGGGAGGGGGGCCCTAACAGCCTTTTCAAAACAATTAGTGACTCTTGCCCCCCACCCCCAAGTTATATTTCTGTATTCTACAAATCTCGGTTCCTTTATGTCTTTTTCCTACTACTCAGTGCTCCCCATTGGTTCTGTCTCTGTGGTTGCTCATGATCTGATTTTTCCACTGGAAATAAAGATTGAAAGATGAATCCAGAGATGAGCAAGGCAATTTAATTTGGAATATCTATGCAGATGAAGGGGCTGTAAGAAGTAGGCCTTACCCGATAGCCAACATCCTCAGTGACCTTGGATGTATCTACTGTACATCCTGCCTGCCAGAGAGTCTCCTTTATGCTACATCCATATAGAAAGACATTCTTTCTCTGGGAGTGGCCATGGTAATCACAAAACACCTGAAGATAGAAAAAGAAGAAGAAACCAACTAAATGTTCAAGTCTCACAGGACTGGGTTGAGTCGTTGCTAAGAAACTGCTGCCCGAGAGTCAGAAGAAGTTAACATTTGAGATATCTGAGCATTACCTCCAGGCAAATACACATGGGATCCAAGAGAACCAATATTGATGGGGATACCAATGTATCACAAAGGACTTCAAAAGGGATCTAGGGTTAGTAACAATCGCTTTATGCAAAATAGTTGATTCCTAATAAGAATTAGGGACTATATTTCACTTCCTTGGCCTATATTCATCAGGAATAGAGAGTCCTATCTTGCTTCCATATCCTTTCATATGAAGAATTAAGCCATTGGGTGTCCTTGTCTTTGGATGGGATGAGGTGCCATCAATGGGAGTGGTGGTTAGACTCTGGATTTTGATCAGGAGAAACCAATTTCATCCACATTCAGATCTAGAAGACCAAGGATGATTTTGACTCTCACCCTAACCTACCTCATGGGTATTTGGAGAAATCATTAGAGAAGGGGAATACACTGTATACCCCCTTCAGTTTTGTAAGCAAAGGTTGGATATAAATCTAATCAAAGAAGTAATACGAGTGCACAATTATAGGCTCTAACAAGGACAACATATGTTCCTATAGCTGCTCATTGCCTGACACAATGTAAGCATTTTGGTTACCAAATGCTAGTAGATGCTCTACTGCTTCTAGGTAAGGCAACTTGGACAATTTTTAAATATGTTGAGTGGGTGCCCTGCTCTGCTTTATTAATAAATCCAGGATAATAATAGATAACAGGGGGCTTACCTGAACTATTGATCCATATTAATTTTAGGCACTCAAGCACCCCACTCTCATTCTCATTTACCATTCACAGAATCCACAGGAAAACTAAATCCCTTTTGACCCAGATTAAACTAGAGTACAGATATACTCTTTAAAGACCAGTTCTGGGATAACATACTGAGCAATAACAGGCTCATTTGCTTCCAAACATACCCTGTTATCCTTCTTGTAAGAATCAACACCTGCAGTTTACAAAGTAATTAAATACCTCTTGCTTTTCTTTACATTCATAGCATACAACATACCAATTTGAGTCAGAGCATAAGCAAGCAATTATGTGAAAACATTCTTGTACGCTATTATTTTATTGTGTATATCTCAGCGAAACAAAGAACAGGACTTACCTTCTCAGTTAACTGTTGTGTTTCTCCCCAAGTCATCCCCTAATCTAATCCATCTGCCTAGCTTCTGTTATTACATACAAAGGCGATAGTCTTGTCCTTTGCCTACACCAAATTTAGATTGCCTTTATAAGCAGTTATTGACTCTCATCACAGTGAAAAACTGGGGTTTATTCACACAAGGGGCTAATATTGACCCAGGCTTTTGAAGAACAATCCATTGTCCAGTTTTGCTGAGATAGGAAGTCAATACCCATCAGACATACATAACTTCTCGTGTCTTCCCTCCAGGATTTGTAATCTCTGTTACAAACAGAAATTCGGTGTCTTTAAACTAACATCCCCAAAAGGAAAGGGAAATACTATATATGGAAAATCAGAAGTCTAATTAATCTCCAACTCCCCACCATTGCTTCACTTATCCCAGGAACTTGCTTTCTATCTTTCCTAGCTAGCAAAGGGAAAGAAAATAATACATTCATTGTAAATCTCTCTTACTGTACAGTTTCAAATCAATATCTGAAATAAAACTTAGCTGTCCCTCAAAATACATACTTCTCCAAATTATATTATAATAATAATAATAATAATAATAATAATAATAATAATAAAATCTATCTATCTATCTATCTATCTATCTATCTATCTATCTATCTATCTACCTACCTACCTACCTACCTACCTACCTACCTAATTCTTGATATTAGGGGAAATTGTTTGCAAAAAAGCTGAACATTAGGCAAAAGTGCAGAGAAAATGTTTAGATTTGGAGAAATGAATACAAAAAATATACACTATTCATACTGTGCTTTAAAAAAAACAACCAGCTAACCAATCCTATATCTGCAAAAATAAACAGAAGTAAACTGAAACAGAGAGATTTGGGCATCTCCCAGTCCTAGCAGCATTTGACAGATGATTAGTGCAGTAGAGAACAATCAACTATTTAGTAAAACCACTGCGATGCGCAAATCACTTCCCAAAGATCCAATCTGACATGGTTTGTGATCTGCATCTAAATAATTTTAACAGAAAGGTAGGGTTGATTCTGTGAGTGTTTTTCCACCCGAACAGTGTGAAACTAAGAGAGTGGGTATCAGTCATCTGTTAACTTACACAGTAGTCAGATACACCAACTTACACAGTTGTTGGACACATACTAAGTCACTTTATTTATGTGAACTCTAGAGAATCACATCATGGGGAAGAGGATCTCACACCAAAAAGCATAAAAAGGGATCCCAACACATACAAGTGTATACATTTCCCAAATTTGGACAATTCAGTGTCATTATTTGAAAGAAAGCATAGATCGGATAGCCCCTCAAAATGACTGGCAAACCATTCTCTTGTCAGTGCGACATGTCTCAGCTAAAAACTCAAGAGTAGACCAAATCTACTTATAGCATATCTAACTATAGGCAGTTACTCAAGTGTAGTCAGAGTTACGAATGAAACCAGCACAGCCTTGAACCACTTCTCTGAATCAAACACATGCTTTTTCTACCAATTATACCATGAAGCAAGCCTTTATATACTTCTTTCATGGACCCAGTAATGATACTAGCTGAAAAGTTCATCTTATCTTGGGTTTATTGATTGATTGATCTATCAAATTTCTAAGGTTGGCCAACTACACAACAACTCTAAATAGTGTACACTATTTAAAAAGTTAGCATATTATAAACAACAGAGAAGAATAAACATCTGGAAAGTGCAATAAAATCATGACCCTCAAGAACACACATTCCCCAATGGGGCCTGCCATACTCTCTACCCCAGGGCTTGGAGAAAGAAACAGGTTTTCAAGGCTTACTTAAACAAGATCAGGGGAGGGGTCATTCAAAACTTTGGGGGAATGTCGTTCCAGAAGGCAGGTGCTGCAATAAAGAAAACTCACTTCCTGAATCCCATCAAGTGGCACTTTTTAATTGATGAGATCTGAAGCATGCCAGCTCTGTACAATTGTACAGGAAGGGCAAAGACCAAAAGTGACAGATGGCTCTTCAAATAACCAGTCACCATGCCATGAAGAGCTTTATAGATGATATTGAATACCTTGAATTGTACCCAGAAGCCAACTGGCAGCTCACAAAGCAGAGGTATTACATGGGCAAAATATGGCATGCCAGTAACTGCTCATGCTACCACATTCTGGTCCAGCTACAGCTTCTGGGTGATCTTCAACAGCAGCCCTATGTACCACGTATTAAACAATAGTCCACATACAAAGTGATCAAAGCATGACTTTGAGGAGGGCCTCTCAGTCCAGAACTGGGCACAACTGGCACATAAGATTAACCTAGGAAAAAGCCCTCCTGGTCACAGCTGCCACCTGCTCCTTGAGCAGCAGCTGTAAGTCCAGGAGGATCCCCAAGGTGTACATCAGTCCCAGCATTGACTGGAACCAACCACAGAGAAAGGAGAACCACTGCAACACCATGCCCACACTCTAAGTCTAGAATAATATCATGATTGATGGTATTGAAAGCCACTGAGAAATAAAGGAGGGCCCAGTTGGTTGTACCACCCCATCTTGTCTCCACCAGAAGTCATCAACAAGTGTGATCAATGCTGTCTCAATACTATCCCCTACACTGAAACCTGACTGAAAAGGGTCTGGATTTCCTCCAGTGCCCTCTGAACTGCAGCCCAACCCTATGTTCAATAACCTTCCCTATAAAAGGAAGGTTGGAGACTTGATGAACATTGCCCAGGACTGTTGAATCCAACAATGGCCTCTTGAGGAGGAGGAATGCCATTGCTTCCTTCAAAGTGGACAGACCCATTCCCTCCTTCAAAGGATATCACTTCCCAGGCAGCCTTCACCAGCCAAGAGGAATATGGATCTAATAAACAGGCAGCCAGATTAACAAACTTGAGAACCCTGTCCACTTCTTCAGGAGTTATAGATTCAAACTTGTCCCAGTCAACCACACAATACTATGCTTCCATCACCTTAGTAGACTTCAGAGTCCAAACAAATCAAGTGTTTTACCCACATTCTAATCTTTCCAGTCATAGTTTGATCTAACCATAATTATGAAGGGTAAAGCTTGCTTTTTGGCTGCTCCTCCTCTAAATATCAAAAGGATTTCATAACTTCATCCCTGTACTTCACCGTAATATTTGGTATTGGTGAACTTTACTTAGCGAGTCTTTAATAGGGGTGGGGGGAGCTTACTTCCAAAGCAAGGAGAAAGCAGAGAGGGAGGGAGAGGTTGAACATGTATTAAGTAAAATCAATGAACTCTTCAAAGACAAGGAAAATCCAGTTCTCCTATAGCTTGTCAAGTTCTGAAGGCTGAGAAAGAGTGAAACAGAAGGATCAATAGCGAAGTCTAAAGCAAAGTTTGCTGATTGCTGGCACTGGCCTCTGGGTAAAAATACACAACTCTCTAGGTCATTCTGGATTCTAGGTAGCAAAGAGTTTATTTGGTACGTATGTTTGTTGAGCATTTGCTGCTGTTCAGTCCCGCTGAATGCAGCTTTGAACATTAAGTTTATTCATGGGCACTCTGGTCTAGACGTTTACAGTACTTTAATTTGCAAGTGGAGCCAAGCTTTCAGAAAACAGAATTCTCTGGAAAATTATCATACCCTCCAAACTCTCCACAACAGTTGTAAGCCACCTTGAGTCATTTTCCTGTGAGATGGGCGGCTATACAAAGTTGATTAATAAATAAATAAAAATGTCTTACAACACCCTAATAAGCATTTCTAAGAAAATGAGACCCAAATTGATATAACAACTTGATTGCAGTTATATGCTGAAATTAGCTATTTTCTCAGTGTTGTAATGTGGTTCAGAACTTTAAAAAGATGGATACATTTTTTTTAAAAAAAACATTATTTCAAAAAAGTGCACATTAAATACATTACATTAGATAAACTCCTTGTAAAAAATGAGCATATTAGGGAAATAGCAAACAGGATATATTTTACCATAGGCTAGAATTATGGGCATAGTTACTTATACTAACCACAGTTTCTTGAATAAGCCTGAAACAAATCAGGGTTAGTCTCACAAACAAGAAGATTGGTTGGCCAATTCCTGATTTGTTTTCCAGCCTTTTTAATCTGCCATTTCTTGGCAGGTTGTTCAGAGGCTTAGAGAGAATGAAAAAACAAATCAAGAATAAGCCCATAAATTGCAAATCCCAACCTGATTAGCATATCAGAAATAAGCCACAGCTGCAGTCAGTTAACCCCAAAGTCATGGTTTCAAATGATTATTTACTGCTTTAAAACAAAACATGGTTTATTCACTGGCATGATTACACATCACACTCAAGCTAAACAAAACACATAATGATGTAAAACTAAATGCTCATTCAGCAGTTAAGAAGGAGGAAAACTTAGAAGAAGGTAATTAGGGGTGTCTTCCGGAAGGGGGGCAAAAAAAAAAAAAATCAAGGCAGCCACAATCCCATGATTGAAGCCCACCCCTTTTTATATCTGTGTCCAACATGTGCAACAGAGTGGAGCTTCAACTGCATGATCATGGCCACCATCTTGGAGGTCCTGAAGGGAAATGTAAAAAATGGCAGTGACTCACCACTGGAACTCGTCCTTGGCTCTTGAGGTAATAAAGCAGGCCCTTGGTGTGGTAAATGGTGGGATGGTACACCGAATTGGGGCTCAGCCATTGCCTGTTCAAATCATCACCACTCAAGGAACACCGCTGGCTGGAATCAAGGCAGAAGGGGAAAAAAGTCTGAATAAAAACAGATAGAAAATCACTCCTACAAAAGGTGTGAGGGCCAAGTCCGTTCTGGATTCCTCTCCTTCTATTCTGTATTCCTAGAGGCTTCCATTTGAGAAAGAAGTGGTTGGAGTCAAACCTCCAGAGCTGTTTATTCGAGAAAAATCATTTCTCACTTTCATTCTCATTCTCTTTGCCAGCCGACCCCTGTGCAGATGGATTTAACAAAATTAGGAGCAGCCTTATTTTACAACGAGAGATAGATAGGGAAGGCTTTTACTTTAGAAGAGATTAATATTAGCACCTAAGAGAAAGTACACAATACATGCTGCTTTAAATAACTCATTGACATTAATATAACTGGAGTGCAGCAATAAACAATATATGTCCCCTGAAACAGTGTGGACTCAGGCAAGACAAAACAAAGCCAAATTAAAAAAAAAAAGTACATCAACTCTCAAGTCACTATATTAATAGATAATGAAATGGCATTGTTATACAACATTTGCTTGTCAGTTGCAAATAATTAGACTGAGATGGTGAATGAAAGGCTAGATTTCTTTTATAGATGTTGAGTGTCATATAAATCACAGGAGCCTGAAGAAGGCCACGAAAAGTTGAAAAACACCAGAAGTAAAGTTTCAGGAGAATAGTGGCCTGGGCGCTGCTAGGCATGTGTGATCGCATGGTTATTCCAGGAAGTGCTGGGGCAAAAATCTCTAGCCATTTAAAAGCCTTAAGCACACCAGGCTTTTTAAAACCATTTAAAAAAAAAAAAAAATAGAGAAGACACCTGGGCCAACTCAAACATTTTAGAAACCAAATACAATCCCCATTCCCACCCCACCCCGCACCAAATCTTAAATACAGTTGGGCAATTTCTTCGATGGATTTTTTATTTAAAAAATGGTAGGATTATTTGCCGGATTGCAAAGCTGTTCACTACAGCCACAGTAGACTCTTGAAAAGTAGATTTTTCCCATTAAGATCACTCTCTAAGTCTCTTTATTGCTTGTAACAAAACCATCATCAGTTCTACAAGGCCAAAGGGATAAATGTTTAAAAGGAACATTTAGAGTTTGGAACTAGTTTGCTTGGGACAAAATGTCAAGTTCCCCTCAGCAGACAGAACTTTGTGAAGCCTCCCAGAGATGTGAAATGACATGGCGAGGACTAAATATTTGAATTCAGGAATGGTGGCCATTACAAGCAGCTGTTAGTAATTATGAAGATAGGACCAACTCCAGAACTTGTTATCTCTCCTGTGTCTTCCTCTTTCCACATCTCCCTCTGGGTCAGGGGGTTATGAAATTCTGGCTTTTGTTTCCCTCCCTCACTAATTCATAGCAACTGCATGTTTGCATTCACTGCATTCCTGCTCCAAGAATCTCCAGTCAACGACGACACTGAATTGTACCAGGTTAACCAAAAAATAAATAAATAAAATCCAAGATCAAGCAACAAAATCATCCGTTCCTGTTGGGCTACTGTGCCACATGGAAGACCTTTCCAGAAATGGAATGGAAGCTCTTCAGACTGAAGACTTTTTAGCCAAACTTCAGAATCCTACCCAAGGTTCAGAGATGGCTGTTCATCAGGATGGCCTCATTTATGTGTCATTCATTACTCATAAAAAGTAACTTCTGTTTCTTAGTTGGGCACTATTCTGTCTGAACATCAACTGAATTTGGGCACTCTGCTGCTGGCATTCAGGAGAGCAAGATGGTGGTTCACTAGGCAGTTTTGTATGGGTGATGAGTTTTTTGCAACCTGAAAGACCAGCCCAAAGAAGTTTCCTCCAAGGGCATACTAGTCCCTTTCCTGCATTACAGTTAGAGAAGTTCAAGAAAAAAATAGAATGGCTGGTGTGGGTCTTCCGGGCTGTGTGGCCGTGTTCTTGAAGTTCTGTTTCCTAACGTTTCGCCAGCACCT